TACATACATACATACATACAGAATATGGTATAAGACATTTATGTTTATATCTACCTGTATATCTGCATATGTATGCTTGTGTGAATGTATGTAGGCAATTATGTATGCATGCAAGCATGGCATGTGTGCAAAGATGGATGGCTGCACGTGAGAATATATCTATTTGCGAACTGTGCATATACACGTGTTAATTTTCATGTGTACGCGGATGCACGTGTGCAGGCATAAGTGCAGACAGGTGGGAAATGTATGTTTTTGCTTGCATATCCGTACATGTAACAATTTGTCTATGTTCATGCAGAAGCAATTAGACATGCATCCATGCAATGTACACACATGCCTATATGTTTATGTAGAAAGTCTAAGTATGTGTTTATGTTTATCTGTATGTATGCGTGTAGGTACATGTGCGTGTGCGTGTGGACGTGTTTATACATGCATGCAAGCATCTAGTGCCTGCATGCATGTATTTATGTGGCTTCTACGGCTGTGCATACATAGACCGGGAGACGAGGCTGGGGTGTAATTTCATCGTGTGTATGTGCATACGTAGCTTGCTCGTCTGCCTAGTAAATTTGAAAATTGCAAGTATACTCCAACCTAGTCAGTTGCGTGCCACGCAACGTGCCAGCGTGAGTGGTGCTTCATGCAGTCGCTTTCGGGGTTCTGGGGTTTCAATGCAGCCACAGACACGGATGATAACGGTTTCGTCCGCCATGTCCTTGTTGCCAGACATAGGCCACAACCTCAGCACGACATTTGCTCGTCTGAGTTCGGGGTTTACGGTTCCGGCCCGTCAGCTCAAGCCTGAAGCCTCCAAAGAAGGGAACTCAGCCAAGGAGGCGCTGCGGGCTTTCGCGCGGGCGACCAACAGTTGAAGCCAAACTCGAACCCTGCAGACCGGCATTCTACGTCAGAGTTTGCGAGAGACTTACGGTTTAGGGTTTAGGGTTTAGGGCCCTAAACCCTAAACCCTTTTAAGGCTCTGGTACCCAGCCTGCTACGAAGCTGTAAAACCCAGAGAGGAGGTTCGTGAACGACTTCAGAAAGAAAGGAGAGGCCCCGGAACTCTATTGAGCCAAACCCTTAGTAACCCAATACCTTGAAACCCTAGACCCTTATGTAAACCCTAAGCCCTCTAGGACCTAGGAAACCCAATACCTTGAAACCATAAGCCCTTATGTAAACCCTAGTAGGCCCTAAACCCTCAACGGTCAACCTTTAACATCTGAATCATGGAAAGTCACTGTCGCGCTCGGCGGAGAAGTTCCTGGATGTCATGGGGTTTTCATTTCGATTTTGGATCGGGTTTCGACTTTAGGGCTAAACCCCTAGGGGGTTTAGGGTTTATAATTTCTTAGGTCTCTAAGGCTTTGAGCTGCACGCCCAAGGCTTCAGGTGAGTGAGTATCAGTCTGACGGATGTTTGGGTGTAGGGCATGATCAACTTGTGGCAGCCTCTGCTGGGGTTGATCTGGAAGACTGCATCCGCCTCGGCGGCCGCCGCATGTTTCATGCAATTGTAACTATTAGTTGGGGAATACTGGAGCACGTCCATATGCAAAACCGTATAAGAGAAGCTATGGAAGATGCTTGCTCACAGTTACCGCCTTCTGATTGCCTCCGTGGGGCTTCCAGTTCTATGAAGTCCACTAGCGCGAGCCCACAAACCAGAACAACGACGGAGAGCCAAAGGACAACATGCTAACCCTAAGCCCTATAGGCCCTATAAAACATGACCCTAAGCCCTAAAGGCCCTATATAAAACAGCAGCTATGAGAATCTTAACCGAATCTTAACATAGGCTTCTGAACACAACCTGCGACCAAACAAACTCCGCAGCCCGAAGTAGAAAGAAACGGCCCTCACGAGAAAGATCCTTCCACAAATAGGCTTCTACCCATAGGCCCCATAGTAGTTCTTGTTTGGGATTCCCTAATAGGATCCTAAATATAAGCCACACAAAGGAACTACTATGGGGCCTCTGGGTAGCCTAAATCTTGCCCTAACCCGAAAACGGAACCCCAGTCTAGGACGGAGGAAACCTCGATGTACCCCTTTCGGAAACCCAGCGTCCGCCAGAATGCGCAGAGTGTTCAAAGGATCTTCCCTGCCGGCCTCTCAGCGTCTGGGTTGGAGCTCTATAGACTCTATAGCTATACAACTGGACTAGGGTGTCTATACCCATAGGCTCCATTATGGTTCCATTCGGGGATTACCTTTTAGCATCCTAAATAAGTATACATGTATATATATATATATACATACACCACAAAAAGGAACTATTAAAGGAGCCTATGGGTATACATTGAGGGTTTGTTACGTATTTCGGGGCATGGGTTCTTTACGGTAGGGACTCTGCTGCTTAGGGTCTACACTATGGCTCCTTCTTGCATGCATACTGTACATGCACATGCAGTGGTTGCCGCACATATTTCCTTCCTGCACGCACACCAACGTCGAAGTTGGGGTCGCATCCCCGGGCCTGCTTCGCTTGTTTATTGCCATCCTTTAATTGCGGAGGAGTGGAGGGGCGGGGCTGAGTCACCAACATAACTTCCTCGTTGCTGGGCGGGTAGGGACTTTTCGGGGAAGACGACATCGATTCAGATCACCCCAAAGCCTCATTTCCTCAGCATTTCTTGCCCCAACCCCCCAAACCGGAGGAAAATAGGAAAGTCCTAGTGTGACTCTCTAGGAACTTGGAGAACCCAAAAACCAACAAGACGACTCCAGCAAACTCAAAACGGAGATACTGCATCAGGCAAAAGGGGGTATTGTAGTTCTTCCTTCCCGCAGGTTCACCATCATCCCAGAAGCTCTGCTTTGCATCTGGGCTCGCTCGCTGACAGGATGAGCCCCAACGAATCTCTCTCCGAGCACATCTGGGAGAGTTCCCAAGAGAGCCCCAGACCCCTTAATTAAGGAATATACCTCAAATTATAAGGGGCTTCATATTATGATTTAAGCTATATTCCTTAATTAAGGGGTATTGGGCTCTCTGGGTCCGCAAAGCAAACACGCCAAGGCCTTCTGCATCATTGCCGGAGCATAGTACAGGAGGAAGGCCGGTCCACGCCTTAGCAGTGCCGCGTTGATGTGGGCTTTACCCATAGGCCCCATAGTAGTTCCTCTTTGGGATTCAGATAGAAGGGTTCATATATAAATAAGTGCAGGTTTAGGGTTAGGCCCCGTAGTAGTTCTTTTTTGGGGGTTCATATATAGAATCCTATAAGGTAATCCCAAAAAGCATAGGCCCCATAGTAGTTCCTTTTTTGCGGGTTCATATATAGAATCCTATAAGGTAATCCCTAAAGTAGTTCCTTTTTGGGGTTCATATATAGAATCCTATAAGGTAATCCCAAAAAGGAACTACTATGGGGCCTATGGGTAGGGCAGGGGCCGGGCAGGGGAGTCCTGCCAGCTCACCTCCTGCCTACAGCGATCCAAGACATGTTCTACATCCCCACTTGGCTACGTGGTGGTCTGCCAGCATGTGGGTCTGCACACTTATCCGTAGCTTCGCGTGGCCACCCATAGTTTTTTTTCTCTCTCTCTCTCTCTCTCTCTCTCAAAACTTCGTACGACATGCATATGGGCACGTCCGCAGCCTTCTAGCATGTTTTCTCTCCCTTTCGCATACGAGCTGTTGCAACCACGTCTGAACCAAAATCGTGCATATTTGTATTTTGTTGAGTTCCCGCTAAATCTACAGCCTCCATCCATCGAACGAAATGGTGTTGCCTTGTTCAGTCGGAAAGAAGCTACCTATAGTCTCCATTGTAGTTCCTTTTTTGGTTTGATCAGTTATATATTAAGGATCCTAAACGGTAACCCCAAAAAGGAACTACTTTAGGGCCTGTGGGTACATTCGACACCCAAAGGTCTCCGCAAGGAAAGTGTGTACGCAACTAGACAAGATTATATCATCCTTCCCGGTTCGCCTGCGCTGAGACTTCCCAAAGAGTGTAACCCGCCCTCTCCCTAAGGGTCCATGGGCCCAAATAGATATACGTTGGCCTTAAAGTAGTCCCTATATAAGTACTTTGGGGCCAGTGTATATGAGCCGGCGTCAAAATTA